GTCGTTAAAGGATCTTTTACAACCGGACATCAAATCCGATCGTTAACTCTTAACGATGGGGCTTTAGTAACCGGTGACAACCGGATTGTTTTCGACTATTATCAATTTATAGGTGTCGAATTTAGACTTTTAACGACTAAATTTCCTTCGTTATAGATTCTTTTTGGATAGTGTGGATATCAACAGTTTTACTAATAGTTTTAAAAAAGTAAACTCTTAATTAATATGTTGAGGTGAATTATTTTTTGAATTAATTATATTGGAAAGGGAATTTTTAATTAAGATATACCTCTTTAATGCTTCTAAGAAAAGTTAATAATCAAATTTATTAGGCGCACGTGTTTTTCGTACACTCTGGGCGGTCCCACATAGGGTTTAAGTGGTTCACATGAACCCACTTGGTTGAAAAATAACACCGCATATATATGCATATTTAATTAGTTTTAAAATTTTATATCTATATAATAACTTTTGAACCACTAGCACAAGTGTGACCCTTGGTCAAGTGGTGAAAAAGGCATAATTTTCCTAGCCTGCCTTCGAATCCCCATTCCTACATTTTGTTTGCACTTTTTTTATGCAAAGGATTGATCCAGGTACTATCGCTACTTGACTTGCTTCTAGGAATGAGATTTGTGACTATCAGAATTCAAGGTGAGTTGCTCTCTCTTTAGTGGTACTAGATTCCAGAGATTCCTTTTATTTTCTATCTTATTTTTCTCTCGACAGTGATTTTAATTCTTCAAACTTATTTCCTTTGTATATGCTCTTATATTAGTGTCACCAAATATTGGAGTTGTTTTCATTTTTCACTCGTCAATTCCACATTTATAGAAGTTAGTTGACCATTTTATTGTTTTTTTCGTATTATTTACAATGTTAATTCATAATTGATTAATAAGGGATGGGGTTTGCCTAACGTCCTACGAAGATGACAGGTGCCCTCGCGACCTGATGGAATTTTGGGTCATGATTGAGTTCCAGTTGGACTCCCCACAAGTCATGCACATTTTACATGGACTAGGAAACAAAATTTCAACTCAATCGTTTACACACTATTTATATAATGTAATACATCCCCACATTGACATGCAAGAAATATGATTCTATAGTTAATTTTAATTTTTTTATCATAAGAATTGTAATAAAAAATGGTAATATGCTACTTCTCTTTAGTTTTATTCTTTTGTCTTGCCATTTTTTTTTCTTATTTATACAATTATCAATATATGATGAATGTATTTGGGGTTGAAAGGTCTTCTACATGAAATAGATGTATTATTGTGTTGTTATTCCTTTGGTAAATGACTTTTAGTTTTCTTCCATCACACTTTCAGGTTATCTTTATCGTAATTCTCTCTTATTATATTAATACTAGACAGAAGTAACACGGGAACAATATTTATAATTTTTTGTCTTACTTTATGAAATATAGATCAAATTTAGAAAGTCAACTAAATTTTTATATAATTTTAAAATATTTAAATTGTTAATAATGAGAAATTATAATAGTTTTTATGTAATTTTTAAATGATTCCAACTATATTTAGAATATTTCGGAACTGAGTAAACTTAAAAAATTGATGCCAATAAAAAGTTTGATTACAAATATATACCATATGATAGCATTGAACCAAGTTTGTGAACTTATTTTATATAATAACAAACTGTGACACTCGTATAGAAGGTTAATTGAGATGTAGCTTCAATTATTTTGATCATTAATCATAAAATTGAGAAGTGTGTAAAGAGTTAAATGTGAAGAACCAATGCTAATCATAAAAAATAAAAAAGAAGAAAAAGAATGAATCACATTTGCACATACATAGAAGGAAGTATACAATTACTTCAATAATAACATGACTTGACGTACTAAACAAAAGGTTGATGAGGCAATTGTTTTGATGTAACCAAAACTGAGACAAATTAACACGCAAATACAAATAAAGATTATGAATTTATTGTCAATTTTACAAATTCAATCAGCTGTCGAAAGAAATTAGATAGGTGTTTAACATAAGCAAATTTTCAGCACATGTAACATAGACAAATTCTAGTCTAGTATTTATAAAGGCTATATAAGTTGTACTATCAATTGAAACCCAAATGTATATTGTAGGAAAAAAAAGCTTTGATCAAACATAGGAAAGAACGGAGGCTTCATTTTGAAACAGGGATGGACGGAGGCCTGCGACAATTGACACCTAAATTATTTAGTGTTCGTTAATGAAGGAAGCTTCATGACGATAAGAAGAAGAAGAAACTCATCTAAGAGACAGCTAAGAAGAAGAAGAAGAAGCAGGTAAGAAGAAGAAGGAAGAGTAGTATTTTCTTGTGTAAAAACTTGTGTTACATGTGCAAAGAATGAGTTGTATATATAGCTCTTTACTATACCAAACTACTAACAACTTTTGTAACTAACTAATTGACAAGTAGTTATAACTAACTTTATGTAAAAAGACTATTCTACCCTTTTTAAATTCTAGAGCTTTCCTATATTACAACACTCCCCTTCAAGCTAGAAGGTGCAAAAATATTCAAAACCTAGCTTGGATAACAAGTGTTCATGTTGTAGTCTAGATAACCCTTTGGTCAATACATCAGCTGGCTGTTCTTTGGTATGAATGTATTCCACTTTAATCAGTCCCTTTTGTAATTTTTTCTCTTATGAAATGGCAGTAAATTTCAATATGTTTTGTTCTTTCATGATATACTGGATTAGCAACTATCTAAATAGCAGCCTTGCTGTCACTGTAAACTTCAACTGGTACTTGAACCTTAGTACCTATTTCCTTCAATAATCCCAGCAGCCACACCAATTCTGAAAGAGTTGAAGCCAAGCTTCTATACTCAGCTTCAGCTGAGCTTCTTGACTGTCACGACCCAAACCGGGCCGCGACTGGCACCCACACTTACCCTCCTATGTGAGCGAACCAACAAATCTAAACCTTAACACTTCAATATAATATCAACATAAAGTAATGCGGAAGACTTAAACTCATTAATAAAATCAATAACTATTATTATCCCCAAAATCTGGAAGTCATCATCACAAGAACATCTACGATCAAACGACTAAACTAAGAGTATTCTAAAAGCTAAAAATACATAAGAAGCTAGTCCATGCCGGAAGTTCAAGGCATCAAGACTTGAAGAAGAAGATCCATTCCAAGCTAGAAGCATTAGCTCACCCTGAATTTCCGATGTAGTAAGACTGGCTTGAATTACTGTTGAGTTGAAGACGATGGCACGTTTGCTGCACTCCACAAATAGACAAGAAGAGAACATAAAAGTAGGGGTCAGTACAAAACACGGGTACTGAGTAGATATCATCGGCCAACTCAAAATAGAAATCAATATATACCAAGTAATATCATAAAATCAACTATGATACTCAACATGTAGCAACAACAAATACTATATCATTAACAATTACCGTCAAGTTCACACATGAGGACTCAAGCCTCGATACCATACTCATTTGGGAATCATGTTCATTAGATTGAGTATATTAACATCTTTCAAGATTCATTATCTTTATTTCTCTTGTGTCGGTACGTGACACTCCGCTCCCTCAATATTCATTAATCCTCTTGTGTCGGTACGTGACACTCCGATCCCCTAAATCTATGTGTCGGTTCGTGACACCCGATCCCCTAAATCTATGTGTCGGTTCGTGACACCCGATCCCCTAAATCTACGTGTCAGTTCGTGACACCCGATCCCCTAATACTACGTGTCGGTTCGTGACACCCGATCCCCTAATACTACGTGTCGGTTCGTGACACCCGATCCCCTAATACTACGTGTCGGTTCGTGACACCCGATCCCCTAATTCTACGTGTCGGTTCGTGACACCCGATCCCCTAAATCTACGTGTCGGTTCGTGACACCCGATCCCCTAATACTACGTGTCGGTTCGTGACACCGGATCCCCTAATACTACGTGTCGGTCCGTGACACCCGATCCCCTAATCTCTTTCCATCAATTCATCAAGCCTTCTTTCTTACCAAGGCATCATCAATCTCATTACTTTAGTTCATCAAGCCTTCTCCCTTACCAAGGCATCATCATTAAAAAGAGATTAGGTTTTTATCAAGATTTGGGATTCAATAACTTCATCATGCTTAATATAATCACAATTATATAATCACGTTCATGCATGCATACAATTAAGCACATAGCAGGGTTTACAATAGTACCAATGCATATCATTCTCTATTAAGAGTTTACTATGAAAGCATGAAAACCATAACCTACCTCCACCGAAGATTCGTGATCAAGCAAGCAAATTTTCCCAAAGCTTTGTGTTTTTCCCCTTCTCGATCGTCTCTCTCTCTATCGATTCCCTTCTCTCTCTTTCTCTTGTTCTTTCTATTTTCTTTATTCAAACCCTCTTTCTTTTACCCTAATTAGTATATAATTAAGAATAAAAGATGACAATAATAGCCCACTAATTAACTTAAGGTTACCTCTTTTATCCCCCAAGAAATTGAGTTATTAATATAGACCCACGAAATATATAATTATAGCAGGAATAGTCCAAAACGCCCCTTTAAAACTTAACCAGAATTCCGACTTCAACTGGGATTACGCAACCTGTGACGTCCCGTCGCACTTGCGACGGTCCGTCATGCAGGTTTGTCAGAGACTCGATTTCCTTAAGGAGTCTGTGACGGCCCGTCGTACCTACGACGGTCCGTCCTGCACTTCCGTCACGACGTTCAGAGAATCGTTCCCTGTACCAAATTCTCAAGAGTTGAAGTATTTTGAAATGGTGGATCACGACGGTTCGTCGTGCCTGTGACGGTCCGTCCTGCAGGTCCGTCACAGGGTTCAGAGAGTCGATTTCAGCACCCAAATTTCAGAATTTCTAAGTGTTTTGGGACGAGACACCCTCGACGGTCCGTCGTGCCCATGACGTTCCGTCGTGGGTTCCGTCGTCTCAGCCTATTTTTCCAAAAATAAAATCTGCTGCTCAAAACGACTAAACAGGTCGTTACATTGACACTGTTGTTTGCTTCTTTACCTTCCATGATATTAATGATTTACCAATCTTAACCATATACCCTGTCATAGACTTCCTAGTGAGTGGACAAGATGCCCAATCAACATCACAGAATGCAGTAACTTGTCCATCTGAATCACTTGCTAATAACAATCCTTGACCAGGTTGTTTCTTTAGGTATCTGATCACCCTTAATGCAGCATCCAGATGAGACCTTTTTGGTTGCTGTAAAAATTGACTCAATGTCTGAGTACTGAAAGATATATCTGGTTTTGTCATATTCAAATACAACAACTTTCCTATTATCTTCTGATATGTTGTTTGATCAATCAAAGGATCATCTGGTTCTGCTTGTTTCACATGCTCATCATATAGTTTAGATGTTAGTTTGACACTGATGTCAATAGGTGGTCCTGCAGGCTTAGCTGCTGTCAATCCAACCTCAGCTATAAGTTCCAGTGAATACTTCCTTTGATGCATTAATATACCAGCTGCTGATCTGGTAAACTCAATGCCTAGAAAGTATTTTAATTCTCCTAAATCTTTCATCTTGAATGCTTGTTGTAGTGCCTTTTTTGTGTCTTCTATTAGTCTAAGACTACTGCCAGTAATTAGCATGTCATCAACATAAACCAACACTAATATAGTTCCCTCTTCTGACTGATTAATAACAAGGAATAATCATGTTGGCTTTGTTTGAACTTGAGATTGCTAAGAGCTTCAGTCAACTTTTGATTCCATTGCCTTGGAGCTTGTTTCAGACCATATAGGGACTTTGTTAGTCTACATACTTTCTCCCCCTGACCAACAAATCCCTGAGGTAGTTGCATATAAATCTCATCATCCAAATCACCTTGAAGAAAAGCATTGAATACATCCATTTGATGAATATGCCAATGCCTAGCTACTATAAGAGAAACAATGGTTCTGACTGTCACCATTTTAACAACAGGTGAGAAGGTCTCCTTGCAATCTATTCCTTCTTGTTGAGAATAACCTTTAGCCACTAACCTTGCTTTGAGTCTCTCTATCTATCCTGATGAATTGTATTTAACCTTATAAATCCATCTACACCCAATAGCCTTCTTTCCCTTTGGCAGATCAGTAAGCTCCCAAGTATGTTACATTCTAGTGCTTGAATTTCATGTTGCATGGCCTCTATCCATCTTTCATCTTGAACATCTTCTAGATAAAACTCAGGTTCCTTAATAACAGAGGTGGCTGCAATATAGCTTTGGTATGTAGGAGAAAGATGATCATAACTCATGTACTTTCCTAAAGAGTACATGACATCATTGTTAACAGTCAAGGACACAAAATCTTTCATCCAAGTTGGTTTGAGTTTCTGTCTAGTAGACCTCCTATAAGTAGTAAGACTTGCAGACTCTTGACTCATCTCAGTACCACCAGTTGGAGACTGTTCTACCTCATCAACAGAAGACAAAGTATGAGTCTCATGAGACACAGTAGGAGGAGGACACCTGGGAATCACAGGACTTGTACAATGTACATCACTACTTAGTATGTCAGAAATTTGCATAGGATCCAAAAACACTCTTTCTTGTAATGAATGATCTATCTTTGTAAAAGGAAACACATCTTCTCTAAACACCACATCCCTACTTGTGAAGAATGATTTATCAGTTAGATCAAGAAGTATATATCCCTTTTGTAACTCTGAATAACCCATAAGTACTGTTGGTCTTGATCTAGGCATCAACTTATCATGTTCTGTTAAAAGTTTAGCAAAACACAAACATCCTAGAGTTTTGACATGAGATATTGATGGTTTACTACCATACAACTTTTCATAAGGAGTATTAAAATGTAGAACACTACTTGGTAACCTATTAATGATATATGCAGCAGCCAACAAACATTGACCCCAATATCTGATAGGAATATGAGCTTGAAGTCTCAATGCTCTGGTAACTTCAAGTAAGTGTCTATGCTTTCTTTCAGCAACCCCATTTTGCTGAGGAGTATATGGACATGATCTTTGATGTAGGATCCCCAATTCTGTAAATAGCTTGTGACATCCTGAGTTTACAAACTCAGTACCATTATCAGTCCTCAACACTTTAACCTTCTTTCCAAACTGAGTTTGAACATATTGCAGAAACATTCGAATGGAAACACACACAACAGATTTATGTGAGAGTAAAAATAGCCAAGTTACTCTTGAAAAGTCATCCACAATGGTAAGAAAATACTTCTTGCCATCAACAGTAGGTGTATTATAAGGACCCCAAAGATCAACATGAAGTAGCTCAAAACAAGTAGTACTTTTAATGCTACTATTAGGAAACACATTCCTTTTTTGTTTAGCAAATGGACATACAAGGCACTTAGAAATGCTACATGCACTTTGCTTATTCACTGAAAACATTCTTGCAAGCACTGTTGATTATACATGACCCAATCTTCTATGCCATAACACCATGTCTGTCTCCTTAACATCATGAGCAGCAAATGCAACCTCAACTTCCTTTTCTTGATCATTACACTGAGTAGTCAAATGCTTTATTAACAAGTACAATCCTCCTTCCTCCTTACCAACTTCTTTCACCTTCCCACTGTAAAGTTCCTGGAAAACACCAAAATGAGGAAAAAGGGTAACAGAACACCCTAGTTCCTTAGTAATCTGACTTACTGATAACAGATTATACTTGAAATCAGGTATGTGAAGCACATTTGATATAACACTCCTTGTTGATAAACTACAAGATCCAATGTGAGACACCTGAGTAGTAATACCATTAGGTAGATATACAGGCTTAGAGACTTCAGGTTCATGTACAGTGTTTTTGGTCAACATATTTTTCAAACTAGACACCATATGGTTTGTTGCACCAGTATCTATAATCCACATGTTACTTTGTTCAGAAACAAAAAATGTTTTACCTGTATTGTTTGCAGTATTACACCCAGAAGTTGTAGGCTCAGACTTTTGTTGAATCATTTTTAGAATGTGATCATATTGATCCTTTGTAAATGTACATCCTTGAAGCAACTGTTGAACCTCTTTCTCTGCTGAACTCACTGTTCTATTAATACTGGGATTCTCTTATGAAGATTGATACTGCTCAGATATACTTCCCCATCCTGGTGGAGGAACATTGGTGTTCATTCCATAAGTGAGATTTTCATGTGTTAATTGTGTCTGACTTTAGTTGTTACTACCAGTATTACCATATGTAGGAGAAGTTCCTTGCACCTTTCTTTTGGACTTAAAATCAGGAGGATAGCCTACAATCTTGTAACAAAATTCTTTGTTGTGACCCATACATTTGCAAAAATCACATATCAACAATGTGTTCCTTTTCAATTTTTGACTTACATTGGAGCTGCTACTTGCTTTAGAATAAAGAGCAACTGACTCCAATGCAGCTGAAATACTATTAACACCACTCACTACAGCCTTTTGACTCTCATCACCAACTATCATAGCATAGGCATAGTTGATTGATGGTAATGGATCCATCATCAAGATTTGACTTCTTGCTTGATGATAGGAATCATTTAAACCCATTAGAAACTGGTACAACTTCTGCCTATTCATAGGAGCAACAAAACCTTTGGATATTTCACAGTTACAACAAGGAGATGGCACCAACACCTCAAACTCATCCCACAAGCTTTTCAGCTTTGTATAATACATAGAAACAGAAACAGTACCCTGCTGCAGTGAAGCAATATCTTTGTGTAGACTATAAGTTCTAGAGCCATCGATTCTATCAAATCTTTCTTTTAGATCAGTCCAAACATCAAAAGCAGTAGAAGCAAATGCAATACCACTTAGTAAACTCTTGGATACAGCATTCATTAACCATGACAAAACAATAACATTCACTCTTTCCCATTGCCCCCACATTTCCTTACCAAACATCTCCTTTCTAGCAGTTCCATCAATCAAACCTATCTTATTTCTTCCTAGTAGAGCTATCTTAATAGATCGACTCCACAAAGTGTAATTCTCACCACCAAGCAACTGAAATGAGATAATACTCATACCACTAACATCAGTAGGATTAAGAAACAAAGGATGGTTATAATCGATACCTTGACTCTGCCCAGAACTGACTTGTGAAGAATTATATGCACCTGATCTGTTTTGACCTGAATCTACATTTTCACCTTCAATTGCCATTTGAGATTTGAAAAACAATGATTCAACTGTAATTCAACAGACTGGAACTTAAAGATCTTTCCAACAAAACTTGTGAATCTATGAATCAGTAACTAATTCTTTGATCCTGCGATTTCTCTAAAAAAATGTGAATCTATGAATCAACCGTGATTCTTTGATTCTGTGGATTCTCCAGCTTCATCAGTATTTACTGAGAAGCACAAGCTCTGATACCATGTTCGTTAATGAAGGAAGCTTATGACGATAAAAAGAAGAAGAAACTCAGCTAAGAGACAGCTAAGAAGAAAAACAAGAAGCAGGTAAGAAGAAGAAGGAAGAGTAGTATTTTCTTGTGTAAAAACTTGTGTTACATGTACAAAGAATGAGTTGTATATATAGATCTTTACTATACCAAACTACTAACAACTTTTGTAACTAATTAATTGACAAGTAGTTATAAATAACTTTATGTAAAAAGACTATTCTACCCTTTCTAAATTCTACAGCTTTCCTATATTACAACATTTAGTATTTCACTCTATACAAATATCTTTTCTGTTATGTCTTTCTCCATCATCTTTACCCTAGATAGTCTGCCCTGAATTTTTCATGTAGGAGTTTTTTCAGCCATCTGAGCTATGCTTTCTAATATATCAATTATTGCAAATTGTGGAATCTGGGGATGAGATGTGTACATATGCTTGCAAAAGCAATTGTTTTTTTATTTTGTTTATCCAGAAGTGTGTTTGGGCTTATCGATTCCCTTCAAGCCACTTAAATAATAATCACAACTCCCCTTAACTCCTTCTTCTTCAATCTTTTCTTCTACTTGTTTTAAATCATAACTAATTCTGATGAAAAACTTAACTTTATGAAATTTGCTTCACCTTCATAACTGATCACTGGATGGTCATTACAAAAGTAAAAATTTCTCCTTATTTAGCAATGTAACTTGTCTTAAATAAATCACACCGTAAAAGCAATAAACGCAAATTTAGATATTTGAAATATTGATCAAAGAAAATAATCTAGGAAAAGTTCCTTAAACTAGTGACAGATTTCTCCGAAAAATTTTTTAAGCTAAAAATATTTACTCTGTAAATGAAAATTAAAAATAAAACATCACAATTGAGATTTTAATTAGGAATATGAGATCCCTTATGTTTACATTTACCAATTCACTTATACATAAAATCGAAAATAGAGAACGATAGAAAAGTTGAGAGAAAACATGAAGAATGAAAGAAACAATTGGAACAGAAAAATTGAAACCATAACTAACCACACTATATGAAAGAAGATAAGCTAATTAAATATAATCCCTATGTACCAAATTAGTGAGGTATATATATATATATATATATATATATATATATATATATAAGTAAATGTTAAAACTACCCTTGAATTGAATTGAAATTCCAAGAAACAGACAAGTTGAGATTTCCTAAAACTCTCTCTTCCAAATACTACTAGGCAAGAGTTGTTAATTTTTTGTAAATCAAATGTATTTTGTGAGCCGAATGAAAGGATAGTGCACACAAGAAGACACAAGCATGTGTGCGTGTAATGGAGATATAAGAACGCTAGCGTGCGCATACATATATATTTACAGATAGATATGGATAAATATATTATATATATTAGAAATATGGTTGGCAGTTGTTTTGTTCGTTGTCATGGTTGTGTTATTTAGGTTGGATATCTACAGTATTTACATAATGCTACATTTTGACAGTTACTCAGTGCCATTCAGAAATCATATGTGAAATAAGCTGAAAAATGAATTTAGTATATAGTTACTATGAAATA